GTAAGTAGGAATCTCGCCTACAGTATAAATAGATTTTAAAGTAAACAGTACACATGAACTATATATGTTTGAGTACATTTAATGTTATGAATGCTATGCTATGTTATACTACATACACTTAGGCAGTACACCCGAATTATATGTGTTCGAGTACATGATATAGTATGCTATGCTAGGTCATATTGCATACACCTTAATAAGTCAAGAGGAACTTATAAGAGTAATCTCAGTTGAGTGCCGTACCAGCCTCCACAAGGGAGGTAACTCAAGCTCCACAAGGGAGAAAAATAATAATAATAATGATGTCCTCCGACTCAAGGGAGGCATTCAAGTTATAATCACGGTGTCATGGGGGACCTTGCAAACCCTCACGTCCCGATGATTGCGCGCAAGTGGTACGAGCACTCGGGCCCATCAGTAAGAAAGATAAGATAAGATAATAAGATTCTGATAAGACATCATAATTAAGCATAATTGGCTCATGCATATTTATTCATGTGAACGTACAGTTATTTTGCGGGAGATAGTTCCTACTTGCTGAGCGAAAGCTCATTATAGAATGTTTATACTGTAGGTAAGCAACCGGCATATAATGCCTGATGGACTGCTGGCGAGTGGACGAACGATGTGGGGCTCGGGATATGGATACCACTCGCAAATATTTCCGCAATCAGCTTTATGTTACAAATAGTTTTGTTAATTATGATTATGAAACAGATATGTTAAGGTTTGAATATTTTAATTAAGAAAGCAATTTCGTATTTTATGTTTATAATAAGACCTTTTAAAAAAAAAAATGTTCCGTAAATTTTAAGAAATTTCAGTAAGTACAAATTAAAAAGTTAGTTACAGTGGCGGCCTCAAAGGAGGGTCGCTACATGGGCCATCATCAATTTTATTCTTATTGTTTATGAAAATGGTTGGCACATGCTTTAGCTAGAAAGCGATGCTATAGAGAGGCTAATTGTTGTGTGTATGTGTGTACATATATTTTGAACCAATCAAGTGTAAATTTATCAAAGACTAAGAAACATTCACATTTTGAGGACGACATTAAAGCATCAAGATGGCGGTTAATCGTAAAGATAACTTTTTAATATTATTAAAAAAACATGATATCTTTGAGATATTCTCGAATAACTCATGAAAAGGAAAACGAAAACTCTCTGGTCATCGTCACCTTGCTAGCAACCCAACCTGCTCTAAGCAAACCTTTCTCATTGCCATCGCATCGCAACCCAAGAGGCCTTTTCGTGATGGCGATCTTGTTGTCTCGGTCACAAATACAATGTTGTGATGGGAAAGATCGCAACTCTCGAGGATCAATGATCGCCACTATCACAATGGCGATAGTGATGCCATGTACATTACACCGAAGAAAGAGAGCGTGTGTGTGCTAGGGTTCTAAATGTAAGGTTTCTTATAAGGTGATAATTAAGTGGCAGTGTGATAAATTTTAATCGGTCTATTGCGTCCCATTGAGAAATTTGATTCCTCAAAGAGTTTCAAAATTTCTACCTATGTCTACTGGTGGATAGGTCAGGTAAGACTGCATTTTCCTTTAAAACAGGGGGAAAAAAAAAAGTTCCTCAGTTTCATTGCGTGAAAAAAGAAATTCTCGTCATTATTAACTTTTTCTACAGAACATTAGTGGAAGACCAAGTTTAATCGATGTAATGTGTTGTGTTTTGGCAGGGTGTTTTAAGAGCACTGGTTGAAAATTCCAGAACCTTGAGATTGCCCACACATTTGCACGAAAGGTTAAGTACAATAAGGAACGCAAAAAATAGATTGCAGGAGAAAGGAATAACACCATCAATCGATGTAAAGTTGTTTGTTGTCTACCTTACTTAGCTTTAAGACAAATTTCCTCTGTAAAATAGCCATATAAGTAGTCTTGCTATTAGATTTTGAAAATTCTGGTTTTGTTGCCTGTTACAATGTTTATCTGATGTTGTATTCAGAGGATAGCAGAATGCCTGAACATGTCCAAAAAGAAAGTTAGGAACGCAACTGAGGTACACTACAAAAACTATTTTGTCGCATTTTGCTCTTATCTTATACACGGTTTTGTTTAACTAACACTGATGTGAGGATCAATATGTAGGCAATCAGAAAAGTATTGTCACTTAATAGGGAAGCATTTCCCTCTTTGAATGGCCTTCCTGGAGAAACTCATCATAGTGTAAGTGCGGTTATGGCACAAGTCATTGTCAACTCGAAAACAAATTTAGAAATCTACTTTTCATCTACCCTTGTGTGCCTTTTTCTTTACACATTTATTGGCCTTATTTATTCCTTTTTTTTTTTTTTTTTTTTTTTCGGTTCAGTACGTTGCAGATAATTGCGCGGAGGACATCCCTTGGCATGGAGTAGATGAGTGGGTACTCAAGGTAAGAGCAAAATGAGGGTGCTTCTGAGTCTCATTGGTTTTGGTTTAGAGTCGTCCTGTAGATTAAGAATTTGGTTTCAAGGAAATAGAAATTGTGTTGATAGCTAAGCAAGGTTCGCGTGCAGGAAGAAGTAAACAAGCTAATAAGTACGACACTTGGGGAACGGGAGAGAGACATCATACAGCTTTACTACGGTCTGGATAATGAGTGTCTTGGGAGGATATTAGCAAGCGGTGAGTGATGAACAAACATATGATACTATTAATTCAATTTCATTCATGTGTTTTTAGATCCCGCTTCAATCTTCTCTCGAATTAACATTAAAATGCTTCTTTTTCTCTTTCCGCATAGGTTTGTCGAGAGAAAGAGTGAGGCAAGTCAGACTTGTTGCGCTCGAGAAACTAAGAGGGTGTTTGTTTCACAGCTCGAGTTGTGTTTGTGAGAGAAAAACACTGTAATAAAAAAGTAGAATTTGAATTTTTATGAGAGAAAATATTATAACAATAGAACTTGAGTTGTGAAAAGAACAAGGCCTAACACACGATGCCAGAAGGAAACAATTGGAGGCCATGCTTGTCAAACATTATTTAAACTATTGTTACTGTACAAACCATACAAAGACTATATATACTAGCATACGAGCGAGGAAATTTGTAATCTCCATCTTGTTTTCTTATCTTAATATTCATTAGAATACGAGTATTTAGTGGGCATACTGACCCAAACTTTCGATAACATTAGAAAGAAACACTGATTAAGAGCTTGTAAGTTGAAGCATTCTTTTCGTTTTCAAAGCGAATTAATCAATGCTGACTAGCATTCAGATGTTAGACTTGGTATCGGTTATAGTTTACAGTTTACACTTCGAAGATGATTTAAAAGACTTGACATCAAGTCGTCAAAAAAGAAAGAAAATGTGTGGAATGCAAATTGAACTCTGGGATCAGAAGTTAGACAATAGAAGTACATCTCTAGGGGAAATTATGTCTTAAATTTATGTTTGAGTTTGTGTAATATTTAAGATCTGATTTTATCCACTATTTACTTGATTTGATATATCTCTCTCTCTCTCTGTCTGAAGTCAAATGGAATTAGAAAATGAATCCGTTTGACTTTCGAATTCCTCAATTATCTGTGAATATTTCCTGCTCGTATCTTGACTCTAAAAATGCACATATACATCATACAACCAGAATTATCTCAATTGCTCATCAATTAAAATACATCATCAATGAAAATTGCTTAAGCCAATTTCAGGATATAATATCAGATGTTAGTGTTTATATTTACTGGACACAAATACTAAGCAAGCGTAACGACATTATACAACCAGAAAAATTTCTCATGACAACATTGGTAAATTAGTAACTTCAAAGAATCGACGTGTCGTTTGTGGAGCTCCCCTGTGCTAAAAAAAACTAGTCTCAGCTCTTACGACTGCTATGCTACTTGTGCATCTAATCTGACTGACAAAAGTATTGTAAATAAAAAGTAAAAAACAACAACAATAATAATAATAATAAAGAGTAAAAACAACAAACAGGACATCAATTGAATGTACCATGTTACAATTTGACATCTTATTTCTCTCTTTACAAAACTTGCACAACCAGTTTCCAGCAGAAAAGAACTTGTTAAACAGCTCATCTCGGCCACAATTTGCTATGCTTTGCATGCATCCAATTAACACCAAAGACCATCTCGAGTCTTAGCGTCTCCTTGAAAGAGAACTATTATGCACATCAAGCAACCCTTCGAGCGATACCATGGACCAAGCTTCCCCGGTCTGGGCATATATTCTTTGATTTAGAGAATCCACTATAATACTAACATTACCAAAGCCATAAATCTGGTGGCCATTGTGCATCCTCCCGGGTTTTGGCTTAAAAAGCACGTTATGCTGTTGCGCATAGGCCTCGACAACTTCTTTGATGCTCAACTCTGGGCCTTCCATATTGCTTGCAGTAGCTTGTTGAGATTGCACCGCCGCTTTTTGCTGGGCCTCAAACTGTCTTTGCTCAAGAGCTCTAAGGTAGCTGAGATTCTCTTTTAAGCCAGGTTGGACTACCTCCATGCCTTCGACTGCTCGATTCATCATGTCAAGACCACAGTTGAGCTGATTGCGAATGTTTTCATTCGCTAGAAGCTCCTTAGGAAGAAGATCTTTCCAACCCAAAAACCACTTTGTAACCTCTTCAAAGTTGGGGTTTGCACATAACCAGTGATACAAAACCTGCAGCCACTTAGGGAAGAAAAATTTCTCCATCATATCGACCATAAGATGGACCGGTATAACAGGAGCCCAACTTGTGACCCAATAAAACTGATCAAGGTTCTGCTTTGCCGGGTTCACCTGAAACTCTTGCAAGACAAGCTGCAGTTTGGGAACTATGAATCTTCGCATCAGTTGTTCCCAACTGGCCGAGTCAAACACAGCCTTCCAAGGCGAGAGTATAGTAAATGCAGAGCCATCACTAGGGTGCCAAGCACCAAGAATATTGCTCAACTTGGAGCGTATTGTCTGATATACATCCTCCAACTTGTGTCCCAGCAGAGGTAGCCACGGGTGCACCCAGACATGGATAGGAACAGTCTCTCGGTGCGGCTCCCATGAGTCTACGGCATTCTTTAATTTTGGCAAGACTATGTCATCTAGTATTCTATCAAGAACTGAGGAGGGCAGCAACTTTTCCCAATAATCCAAAAATTTGAGCATCGGTTCAGGGTCCCTGGCTTGCCAAGTATTAACACCAGATATTCTTACTGCGGGCACCACAACCTCAAAAACCAACTGAGAATAAGCAGAAGTTGAGTCCCAGATATCCGAGGATTCCTCTTCTTGAAGCAAAGCCTTCCAAGAAGATACCACCTCTAACCCGTGAGACGGGTTTCGAAGAGGATCCCAACCTTGAAACACCCTGATAAACAAAGGCAAAGCAAACGAGCAGGCAATACATGACAAGTTGCACAACTTATAGTCTTCAGAAAACCTCCTTTGCAAGTCAGTGAAGCACTTTAAAAGCCTTTCCAACGTTAAGATTCCCATTGAATTCTCTTCTCGTACTCGGTCCAGTATACCCCTGATTTCCTCGAACCTATCCAATTGCTGCTTCTGTCTTGCCACCTTGATATCCAATCTATCCTTCTCATCTTTCAACCTAATTGCAGTATCTTTCTCATTTCTCAAATCCCTATCAATCTTTTGAATATCAAGTTCGGCCAAATCCATGATTAACCTAATGTTATGCTGAAGCTCTGGCATTGGAATGTCCTCTTCTTTGGCTTTCTCCTCGGCATT